AAGCTTATGTCTCAGATGATTAGATTCCGTCGGAGACAAAAATTATATAAATTTTTGCATAAGCATGATTTATATGCAAGCACTACACTATACCAATTAAGAAGAAGTTTCATTATTGATATGCCATAGGAAAATGAATATGTTTTCTTCCCTTACATTTATCACTATCAACAGAGCAACTCACAATAGTCTGAGTTCATAAAGTTTTTAAAAACTCAGAGCATCCCCGAAGATGTGATGATTAAACAGAGACCTGAAGGAATACTCAGAGTTAATGAGATGAAGAAAGGCAGGGTTGGGGAGGAGAGTTGTGTTCCAGCAGAGGGAAGGGCATATGCCAAGGCCCTGTGGTGAGTAGGGAGCAGAGCCCATACCCTCTGGGGTGTCGTGAAGCTTAAATGAGATCAGCCAGTAAAGGTGGGGGCTCTTTTTAGTGTTCCTGGCACACAGCAAGCACTCAGGATGTGTTAGCTCTGACCGGCTCTCATTTTGAGGCAACTTGGGGCTGATAAGTCTACACAGGTTTACCTCGAAAGCAAGCAGGTGGCCTTCCTGCTTCCCCCGGGAATGTGGTCTGTGACACTGTGGTTTTTCTGTGACTCATCAACTCTGATGTCACTCCTCTCAAGGCCCGGCCTGGTATCTCCGTCCTGGTACCTCTAAGAAGATTCACTAGGACTTTGCAAATGGCACTGATGAAATTCCTCGTGAAGACAGATGCGACACCAGGCCCTGTGGGCGCCTGGACGGTTTCAGACCCAGCCTTTCCTCTTGGACCTCCCTGTGGTCTGGCGCTCGCTCGGTGTGCTGGCTCCTGGCTGCCTGGCAGCCTGCCAGAGGACGCGCTGGCCTTTGCTGCTCCGTCCTCTGCGTCCGCCTCTCACGGCCATTCCTCCCGCCCACAGCATGCTGCCTTGAAAGCAAAATCCAAGAAAATGCGCAGGTGCACTGTTTTGAGATTCTTGAGGGAGGTTCAGCAGGAACTGTCTCAGGCCGGCAGCCGATCCTGGTTTGCATTCAGATCGTCGGTTTGGAAGAAGGTCCTGACTCAGCAGAGATCCCTTGGCCTGCCTTTATCCACAGAGTTTTGAAAGCAGCCATACAGAGCAGTGCTTGAATTACTAGGACGCTTGAGGACAATGCTTTGTTGAAATACCCAGAGGAATGGAAGCATGGTTTGGTGCCAACTCCACAGGCTTTCTCACATCCTCAAGTGGGCATTAAGCAGATTAGCAGTTTATTGTGTGTAACCTTCATTCCTCCAGTGGCTAGCCCATAGGCCGGAACTAACCATGGTGTGAATATCCAGCTTCGTGTCCTGTGTGTTAGATCTGGGGATGTGTATTATACCCCAGATGTCCATCTTGTAAACTCTCTGGGCACATAATACATCAACAAATTTAATCAACAAAAATTTGCCATGATTTCGTAGCTGGTAAAGAAATTAGCAAAGGCCCCCTCCTACACCATCCTCCCCACGCGACACACACAGGCTGCAGGGTTCCAACCTCCAGGGCCTGTGGCCTTGTTGGGGCTGAGAAGGGGGGGGCTGTGGGAGGCTGTGCTGGCACTCTGGCTGCAACCACCGGCAGCCTGAGGACACCTGGTCTTGTATCATGTGCATGCGTTTCCTTACATTGTGTACTTCGCATGCCCTCCGAACCCGGAGACTAATTAGAAATCTTCTAGTTGGTTGGGGGTGGGGGAACCTTAATTTCTTCTTGCCATCACCATTTTCTTTCCTTTTCTGTTTCTCACTATTTCCCCAGTCCAGTTCCTTTCGCAGATCCTCTCACTTTCTTCCTCTCTGCTCTCCCCAAATGGATGTAGGCTCCACGAGGATGGTAGCAACTCTTTTTGACCCAGAGCTGTATTCCCAGCCCCACCACCCTTGCCTGGCACGTGGCAGGCGCTCGGCAAGCATTTACTGGATGGATGAAGGTGTTGCCAGTCTCCCCGTTTCCAGCGCCCTCTGCGGCATGCTCCTGTACAGCTGTCCCAGACCCGTGCAGCCCTGCCGCACACCCCTGGGGAGGAGGGGGGGCCCTTTTCCTGCAAGTCTCACGTGACCTGCAACCCTAAGTCAGCTGAAGTCCCAAAGACGTTTCCCGGACTCCTTTCCATGCCCTGTGGAAGTCCAAGTCCTGCTCAGATTTGAGCCATTTCTGGCGGTGGGGTGGACCTTACCCTCCCGCTCGCTCTGCCCTCGGGCTGCTGCCTCTTGCCAGCCGCTGAGCCCGTGCTTGCTCGGTGTCTGTGCGTCTGTGTGTCTGTGCGTCTGGGAGCGTGCACCAGGCAGTGTGCGCCCCACAGCAGCACGTGAGGCCCTCGGGCTCCTGGAGGAGCTGCCGCCCACCCTCGCCCCACTACGGGTGGTTTTTCCCAGGACCTTCACCCTGCACAGCTCCCAGCCTTCCTGCCGCCTCCTCCCTCGTCTGTCCCCCCTTTCTGTAGGGGATACAAATCCAGAGCCTTTTCTCAGGCAGGGGAGCTTAGCCACGTTGTTGTAGTTCGGGCTCCTGACTCCCCATCTCTAGGCTCTCTCCTCCTCAGTAGCTCATCCACTTGCCTCGTTTTCCTAAACTAACACAGAACTGCCCTCTCTCGGAGGGATAAAAACCAAAACAAAGCATCACTTGGCCTTGGTGGTGGCTACATTTGTGAACTTGGCAGAGAAGGTAAATATACCTCCTACTCACAGGGACGCCAGCCTGTTGACCCAGCTCAGCATTTCATGTGAACAACTCCATGCTGGCTTAGGAAGAGTGTCCAGGAGGACGCACAAGCCGGTCACAGCGGAGGCCTGCAGGGAGGAGAACTGAGTGGGTGGGCACAGGGGTGGGATAAAGACGTCCTCCTCACCGTAAGCCTTTCTTTATCACAGTGTCCCGTATTAAAACACATGGACATCATACCTACGTAATGCCAATAACTAAGGGACCAGCAACCTGAGGCGCTGGTTACACCAAAGTGATCCTCGCCGGTGACCTTAAGCCGTATGCGTCATGAGGACAGCTGACGCCTGAGCGGCCTTTGGCTTAGCGCCCAGTCCTGAGAATTTCCATTCACTGTTCACGTCGGTTCTTCCCTTTGGGTCTCCGCGCTGGAGAGAGCTGAGCTCCTCCGCACGCAGGCCTTAGCCTGCAGTGTTTAGTTTACATCGTCGGGTGTAGGGTCCCCAAAACTCCCAGGAGCCGCTTCTTACCTTGACAAATATATAAAATAGTTTCTCTTAAGAGGAAATCAGTTTTCAACACACTTTAAAATTTAAGTGGGGGGGTAAAGCATATCTGATTGAACAATCTGAGTAGTAACAGGGCGATCGCTGCAATGTGTTTAAGTGCATTAAGCACGAGTTCATAATTAAACTGTACGAACAAGCAATAAAACCGCATTGGCTACTTTTAGGGGCTGCTAAGAAACCAACTACCATTTTAAAAACTAATAAATAAAAGGAGAGAAATAAGAATTTGTCCTGTCTTACCTGTACAAACTGTACTTCATGATAACCCAAGTAGTTGATAAGGGAAAGTTTCTCTTTATGGAAGATTTCCAGTAAGTAAGTGATGAGGTAATAGAATTTGAATATTCTCATTTTTCAAGCCCTATTGATCTAGCCAGTGATCATCAGTGGCTGCTAATATCATTTTAAAAAATAGAAATTTTCTTTGTATGTCCTACAAATTTGTTATAAGATACAGAAATTTGAATACTTTCAGGTTTGATTTTTTTTAGGAAGAATATTTATAAAATGTTGTGTCATTATGTGCCAGTGGAAGTAGATAACATGAGTATTCCTCCTGAAATAAAAATCAAATCTGGATCCAATCAAATTTCTATAGCTCATAACAAATTTATAGGAAATAGTAAGAGTGGGTTATATAATATCAGGGAGATGCAGTCAGCAAGATTCAGACCATGGACAACTGTACAAGACAAACAACCTGGCTGCTTCAACAAATGAATTGCAAAGGAGAGGGGGAAAAAAAGAGATGGGAGGGAATCTATAGATTAACACAGACTTAAGAGACAATCAACCAATTACAGTGAACGGACCTTATTTAGATCCTGGTTCAAACACTGCTTTTAAAATTTTGGGACAGTTAGAGAAATTTAACATCTGATAACATTAAACTATTGTTAACATTTTTAGGTATTAATGTAATACTATGGTTATAGTCCCCAAAAGTCCTTGTCTTTTAGGTATGTATTGAAATACTTATGGTTGAAATGAAAATAAAAACATGTGACATCTGTGCTTATACAGACATAAAGATCTGGTATTTCTGGTGACACGTTGCTTCTGAGGGGAATTTGGAGTCAGGAGGGAAGAAAAATGAACTTTTGGACAGACAGTTTCTTTATGTGGGTAATACCTTTTCAAAAGACTAACCAAAAAAATAAATATAATAGAACAACATTAATTTGAAGATGCTTGAAATGCTTATTTGGGGAAATGAGAAGGCATGAACTCATATCATAGAGCATATGGGTGGATTGACCCAGACCATCTTTCTCAAAATATATCCCAGGACCATCTATCAGAATTGGGCCCAGCCCTCTCCCTTCCTCGGCGTCAGCCAGAATCTGGGAGAGTGAAGCAGAGAGACGTTTGAGAACTACCAGCCTTGATAACCCAAGTGCCAGCTTTTTAAATCCTTATTATGTTGTTTTGGAACTTTGGAATTCATAGGGCAAAAATACTCCCAAATTTAAATTCAAAGCAGGGCCATTCTGAAAGTCTGAAAGGCTTTTTTTTAGACTTGCTGACAATGATTTAATCAGCAGATGTCACTGTGTAATACTTGGGCGCATCCCTTCCACGTTGCCTCATTTTGGAAAAGCAGAGTGTGCTGCTGGCATTGTAACATAGAAATATTTATGGTAATTTTGTATTTTGTTTAATGAAAATAATCTTTCATTTTACTTCCAGTGCTTATTAAAAGTTTGTCTTTGATTAAGCATTCTTTGCTTTTGTTTTTGTTTTGTTTCTCCCCCAGCATCATTGACAAAGAAGTTTCATTAATGGCAGAAATGGACCAAGTTAAAGAAGAAGCCAGTAAGTACACACCTGGCTACTGGATCAGGAGCCTCCTCATCAGAAGCAGTCTGTAGGTCAGGCTGGCAGTGACGTGAATTCTGAGTGGGGTCTTAAAACTCACACGGAAATCCTGGCTCATGAGCTCTGTGACCTTAGGCAGTAAGTCACTTAGTCCCTGGAAACCTCCGTAACTTCATGTGGCAAAGGAGACTAGTAGCACCCACCCGGCAGAATAGGCACTCAGCAAATAGTAGGTGTCAGCTGAACTGTTTCAAGTCCAGAGGGACTTTGGTGCATATAATGGACTATGTATAGTTAGTTGGATTTAAAATGACATTAAATTTGTTACTAAATTTTTTTACATAATTTTAAGCCTTCACAACTTACAAGTCTTGCTACACAACTTATGCAGTCCTTTGCACTGGTCTTTTCTAGGTTCAACTAACTCAAGTTCAACAAATTAAATTTCACTGAAAAAAAATTAGTCCCGTTTGAGCCCTGGCCAGTGTGGTTCAGTGGTTGGAGCATTGGCTCGCGCACTGAAGGGCCTCTGGTTTGATTCCCGGTCAAGGGCACGTACCTGGGTTCCAGGTTCAATCCTCGGCCCTGGTCAGGGCCATGTTCTCTGGGAGGCAACTGATCAGCATGTTCTCACATCGACATTTCTCTCTCTCTCTCTCTCTCTCTTTCTCTCTCTTTCTCTTCCCCCCTCCCTTCCTCCCACCCTCTCTCTCTGAAGATCAATGGAAAAAATGTCCTTGGGTGAGAATTAACAAAAACAAAAAGTCCCATTTGAAACTCAAATTCCTCTTAACATTTTGAATAGCATTTATGAATTTAATATATCTGATTTTTTCAAGCACTTCAGATGCCTGACCAGGCAAACTCACAAACCTAATGGGCAAAGTATTCCAAGTAACTCTTACAAGATTAATAATTCAAACTTAGAGATGTACTCAGTGAAGTTTTCTTAAAACACTCCGATTCTGTTCACAAATTCAGTCAGATTCCCTGATACCTGCCAACCTGACACCTCAAAAGAAAATGAATTACATGTTTTGAATTAAAATCGCCAGTGAGATTGCTTAATATACCAGACACTCTTTAAATAATGAGCACACTCAGACGATCATGATCATTGCAAAACTTCTCCTAATTTTAACACAAAATATTTGTTCTCTGTGTCTGATTTATTTTATTTTCTTTATACTTATTTCTAAGCCTTTCCACTGTTGTGAAGCTACTCGACAGCCAGTAGGACAGATTTACTGTCTCAACTAGGCTGAGGTTCATGGGTTGAAAATTTCAACCGAAACAAGATTATACAATCAGATTCAACACAGGCCACAAATGGACATGCTGGGCCCTCTCTTATTCTTGAATTCACTCTGCTATGTTAATGGAAACCCTAAGACCATATTTTTAAGATGGGATTTGCTTTTACAACTCTTATCTCCTGAGCATTTTAAATTCTTCATCTTTACTGAAATTTTATCTCATGAATTAAATAAAACAGCAGTCCACAACCCCAGCCGCATTTCAGCTAGATTCCTCTACCTTTGACAGTAATGCATTTCTTTTTACCAGAATGAAAAATCAGACCAGATTCTTCATTCTTGTTATATTTTTCTCACCTGGCCCTTGGCCATAATTCAATAATCCCTTTACGGAAAATAGCTATCCTTTTTCATACCCGATTTTTCTAAATAATTTTAAACCAACTTTCAGGCTGGAAAATAGAGCTGGTTTTATTAAATAAAACTAAATGTGACCCAGGGTTAAGCTGTGGAATATGTAGGTAGTTACACAATCCCTTTGATTGAGACATTGTTTTATTCTTATGAGATCTATTCATTTCTTCAGTAAAAGTCGATTTCCACATGATGGGATTTTTCCTGTTTCTTCTTATTCCTATAAGGTAGAGCTTATTTTTCGTTTTCAGCTTTGTGCCCTGTTGGTTAAAAACACTAAGAACCAACAGAGACAAATGTTTCTCTCGCACCAAAATAGAAAGTTGCTAGCACATCACTTTCTAAGAGGTTAACAAAACACCTGCGATTTCATGTGCTCATCCTTTCTCCTTGGGACGGTACTCGGCGCCAAGGCCTATGGAACTTGAGGCATCTCCGGGGAGCACCCCCGTTTTTACGGCTCGCTTAATCAGTAAACCTTTGCTGCGCGCTTGCCCGGGCACTGAGCTCGGTCCGCGGCCGCGGTGACCGGCAAGCAGCCCGCGGGAGCGCTCGGCGGGAACAGCGGCCTGGTCGCCGGGACCCCCTGACTTCAGTCCCTGGGGCGGTGGCCCCTGGCGTCAGACCTGCCCGAGCCCTGGAGAGGCCAGTTCCCACGCGCCGGAGCAGGCAGAACCGAGTCCAGTTCCAAGTGCTACCCATTCACCGCTGTGTGACCTTGCACCACTCTGTTAACTTCTCCGGGTCTGTGGTTGCATATCAGAAAAGGGGGAATAAGAATTGTATCTGCCTCAAATAGCTCTTGGAAAGATAAAATGAGAGAACGCGTGCCAGGCACTTAGCAAGTACCTGACACAGAAGGTGAACAGAAAGGGCAAAGCTGCGTTGGTACAGAGGTCAGCCCAGCGCTCTCCTTGAGTCAGAAAGTGAGGTCGGAGGGCACAGCCTCTCTCAGGTGACACGCCATGTGTCCTCACAGACAGAAGCGACCACTGACTTTCTCCCCACAAAGCACCGAACCGTTTTTGCAACCACCATCTTGAGCTTGCTTATCTACTGTCTCACGAGTATTTTTCATTTCCTGAGCATGGTCTAAACCACATTTCCTCAATTATAACATAAGCTCCTAATATCCCCCACGGCACCTAACACAATACTGAGAAGACTGTAGGCCCTTCATAATATTTGTTAAACAAACCGTAATTAATTCAGTGTCTATAGGCTGTGGGATCCAATATCAGTGAACATTAATGTAATTACAAAAAGAGGAAGTATATTTAGATGAATGTATCTCGCTTTATTAATAATATTCGCAGTGAGCCTTTCTTGAAGGTACTATTCCAAACACTTCACTCAGTTATTTCACTTAGTTCCACAATAACCCACAGGTCTGTAGGATTATTACACTTTACATTTGCAACTCGGCTGCTGTAGTGCTGTGGTCTCAGAGTTTGCGTACCAGGGAATGGAAGGCCCATGCAGGCATGCTCTTGGAGTGTCAGTTTACAAGAAATATGGGAAGAAACATCACTTTATGTTAATAGGAACACAGATACATTGTGAAATAAAATGCAAAATTCACAAGAATTTTTTTAGGAATAAAAAGAATTTCAAAGGATCTTTGTGCTTGAAGAACTACGTCTGCCCCAGCTCCCGTCCCTCAGGATTTCACATACACCCTCCCTCCCTGCTGAGGAGTATTATTTGAGAAGCCCTAGAATTTTTCAAGGTTCAAGCAATAAGAGCAAGCTTCCAATGTGTTTCGGAACCTTGAAGGAATTTATAAATCCTGTTGAGAAAACAGATTTCAGGACACTAGATACTGTCTATAAAAGTACCTAAATGACATTAATCAAGTCCCAAATGTAGCAAAAATCCAGAGCTGCGTGGAACTGTCCCTTCCACAGGTTTATCAAAGGATGGTGCTTTCAAAATACACTTATTATTCTATTTTATATTTTAGGATCAATGAATTTTAGGATCTGATAGGGTTTTGTTTTTTACTTTTTATTTCTGTGATTGATGTTTTTGTGGTGAAAATGTTGCCTCCCCCACCAAAGAATTTAGCTTTAGATCTCAAGTTTTAAGGCTTTTTCATAATGAAAGGCTTTGAAATGTTAATGAGACTATATGTAAAACTCATCCCAACACTTGCTGATGCAAAATATTCATCTCCATGCACATTTGCATGAGTATAAACTAAGAACTTATTGGTGATCTTGCACCTGCATTCCTATTTTAGGGCCCATTTATATCTATTTCTACAAAACCTTTTGTTTGGTGTGAATGCCCAAGTTCTGCTTAATCAAAAAGAACAATTGCCCCTAATTGTTACCAGTCCCACAAAGGATCCATTAAGAAAAGTCGGATTTGTTTAACTGTGTGGTTACTCAGGGTCTGCTGACCCCTGTGCTAGCTGCTTGTCAAGTCTGGGCCTTCAGAGTTATTTTTTTTTTAATCTTTGCAAGAAGAAAGTACTTTGTTTCATCTTCTTACTCAAAAATAATTTTCTCATGCTCGGGACATTAGTCCCATCCATAGGTTGAATGGCAATGGCAAACAAATAAGCAGACTTGAGTGCTAGACATTCTTAAGTGGCCCCTGGAGAAGAGGCACTTCTGTCCTCTGCATACTCCTTTTAAGTACAGATTGGTTCATTCAACCCTTCCTTCAGCAGGCATGTGAGGCACCACTGCGTACCAGCCCCTCGGTGTTGTGGACACAAATAAGTACATGTGCAGCCTCTACTGTGTACGATGCCTGTTACAGAGGCCGGGCAGGTCACATTAATCAGCCGAACAGAGCAGGGAGGGACCAGGCACGACATGCCCCATGCTTCATCCGAAAAAGGCAACGAGTTCTCAGTTCTAGCCAGTCATTGCCACATGGAAATGCTCAACAGCTGTGGCCAGAAATTCCAGTATTTTAAGAGAAACCAGAAACCCAGCTTTCAAATGGACTCTCTTAATTTTCAAATGTGGGCAATTAATTTGAAAAACTAACTTGTCATATGTGAACCAAACAAAACACAGGCACTCTGTAGCCAAAAGTGATAGCAGGTCACCCTTCTGTGTCGTCTCGTCTGATTGGGTAACCTGGGATATCGTTGGGTAATACACTGTCGGTGTTCAGATGAAAATTCCCTTCACTTTCATCACTGGGACGAGCTTTTCACTGGCTCTTCTGTATTCTGAAAAGCAGCCAGGCTCAGATCGGCCTCTGCCCAGCTACATGGCACTGTAAGTGGGAGGCAGGAGGAGTCCCAGTGAATAATTAAAGCATGATTAGAGTAGTTTGGCAGATGATGAGGCTTTATGAGTTATAGATTTCTTATTTTGTTGACATCTCAGCATTGAGATCAGCATAAAAAGATAATGTTTCTCTGAATAATAGTTTATGATTTGTAAGAACTCAATAACTCTTGATTCCTTCTGAACTTCTTTTAGGGTTTTAAGGTGATGTTTTTGACACATAAATTAAGAACTCTTACAATGAGAAGTCACATTGTTTGGCTCTGCATGTACGCTGTGGATCAGGTCTAATGAAGCAGTTGACCTTTGTTCAGCCAAGAATGGAATGTGACTTGGAAGTACATATTATCTTAGATGGGCTTCTCCTTTGTTACAACTCAAAGTACTTGTCTAGAAGAAATGAAAGCATTTCATACGTGGCTTGAATTAGAGAGCTATAAATTATTTACATAATTTGAATTATGAAAGATCAGACTTCATATTTAAATCTCACCCCATAGGTTTGTATCCATAGCTTTTGAGTTCCGTGATCTTTTGGGAAACACACACACAAATTAACCTGTGGGCTACCACTTCGACTTGAACCTTTAGTTCATCTGACGTGTGGTATGTGGTGCCAGAGAGCTCCCTGGTATCTTCACTGTGTGTGCAGATGCTAAAGAGTGCACATGAATCCAGTTCCAAAGGGCCTTGACTCACCCTTGAGATGTTTCCATTGGGGACACTTATAACAAGGACAGGACACCATGGTCTGGAACTTCAATCTGATTGCCAAATGGAAACTTATCTGCAGAGTATCAAAAGAAAAGGCATTTTTCGCTCACAAAAAGCTAATCAAGTAAAACCTTTAAGTCATATTCCAACAACCCAGCTAGTTGCCCTAAATGAGTATGTGTGAAAGTCCAGAAAGTCTGGCACTGTTAGAATTTAATGGTACAGCACATAGAAGAACAGGTTTTGTTTAATGGACTCCCTATCTTTGCAATACCATTCAGATAGGATTTTAATAAGTGTCTTTTTGGAAATAGCTATTCTGAGTAATGCACACATTTAAAAGTCCAAATTAAGTCAGTGAGACCAGATGCCAGTGAGGAAAATGAAGACGACCGTGGGTGTGCAGTGAATCAGAAGGACTGTGTTTGGCTTGAGATGGGTGGGTGAGTACATCCAGAAATGGGCAGTTGGTGATGAGCACCAATGACAAACCCACCCCGATGACCAGCTCAGAAAATAGTCATGGTCCAACAGTGATCGCTGCGGAGAGAGAACAGATTCCAAGAAATTAGGTCACTTAATGTGTTTAAATCTCTGGCCCTAATGTATTCCTTCTTATTTGGCAGTGGAAATCCTGACTGCTCGTCAGAAGAAAGCAGAAGAACTGAAGAGACTCACTGATCTGGCCAGTCAGATGGCAGAGATGCAGCTGGCCGAACTCAGGGCAGAAATCAAGGTCAGTTCCAAACGACCACAGCCTGAGCCCTGAACCGGGGATTCGATCCCATCATTTGTGTGTTGCACCCATAGAGAGCTGCTCTCTGAGGACCCAACACCACACACCCAGCCCCCCTTCCCAAGGCTGACATAGAGAACAGAAGGGCAAAGGGCCTTCTGATCACTGTATTTACGTATACAGTGGTTTGAAGGAACATATTAATACAGAGGGAGGTACAAGCTATTTTCTTAGTGGGGACTGAAATAAAATGTATTTAACCATGAATTATAGCCGGGATGGGGGATATTATTTTTACCATATGTACTTCATGCATATGTGTATAAACACACCACATGAACACGCTAAGTATGAATTTATTGTAGCAGAAGGGATTCTAAGGAGAGCACAGTCCATGGAGACATCTTTCCTACATCCTTGCCTAGCTTAGTTGCCCTTTTATTAAGGAATGCCACCCGCGAGTGTGAGTTTATTAGATTTCTTCAGTGGTAAGTGACAGAAACTGGCCCTGGTAACCTCAAGAACAAATGAAATTTGAAAGTACATGAGTGTGGTTCACCCACGCAGAGTGTGATCCGAAGACTCGGGACTATGATTAGACAGAAACCTGGGCAGCCACTGGGTAGTGGAGGCAGCAGTAATTACTAGACTCTCTTCAGGGCACCATCGGAGCAAGTGACCTCCGGACACTATCAGCCTTTGTGCCACCCACTTGATTCAAGTCCTAGAGAGAGATTCTGATCGGCCTCCGCTGCGTCACATCCACCACTGAGCCGAGAGAGGCCTGGGTTGACAGGCCCACCAAGACTGTGGGTCTTTGAAATCATGTTGGGGTACAGTTACCAGAAGGAGAAATGGTTACCAGAAAGGCCAAAACAAGTATGTACAATAAAATAGGAAGTTACAGTTTCTAAGTTTCCCCTTAATCTCTTCTCCCCAGTATACTAAACACACACACACACCAGCTTCTGACCTACTTCTTGGGAACTAGAGTACTTGGAAGACACAGTTGCTACAGGCTTTATAAGTCGGATTGTCTGCTCATCTGGACATAAAACTGGTTAGGAATGGTAGAAAGTGGCAAGTGTTTTTCCAGCCCCCTGTGTTTTGGTTAGGCGTGAAAAGGATCAGGGAAGTAAGGGCCCCCCAAGGTCCTGAGAGGCTCTAGCATCTTTCTCTCTCACCTCTTCTGGCCTTCGTTGCTTCCCACCCGCTCAGTTGCCCTGGCCTCCTAATTAGTCTTTCTGTCTCCAGGTCTCCCTCCAGCCTGCTCATCCACACTTAACACAAGGTTATAGCCCCAGAGCAGGCCTGGTCTTCCCCTCAGGATAAAATCCACAGCTGGACTGCAGTGTCTGTATATTCCAACTTCTCGCTCGCTCTTATTAGAACATGAAGTGAGGAGTGTGAATTGCCTGTCAGATTCCCACTGAACATAAAATGGTTAACAACACAGGCTTTGGGGTGAAACAGTCTGGCTTCCGCAACCTCGGCTAAATTACATATTCTTAGAACCTCAATTCCCCTCTGTAAAATAGAGATAATAATAGTACTGATTTCGTAATACTGTGATCAGATGAAAATGAGATGATGTGTTAAGAATTCGGCCCATTTTTTAATGTTCCAGCTCCAATGCTTCCCTTACATAACTCCCAGTCCCCTCAGTGGGAAATCATTTCTTTCTCTTTTATATTCCCGAAGCACCTACCACATTCGACCCTATGTTGTACTTAGTGGTGTCTGTTTCCCTTGCCATGTGGTAAACTCTCTGGTGAACTCAAAGGAGGAACTGAGTCATAGTTATTTCTGTATTTCTCACTCTGTCATCTCACATAAATCTTCATTTCAAATGAATTGAAAGATAATCTCTTTCCCACTTCCTTTAACAGCTCTTGGAATTCTACCAAGACAATGTTTTCTGGTTACTAAAGGCTGCTTGGACTTTCTGGTTCCCTATTAAAATAGAGACGGGTGTTTAGCTAAGGATGACAAGTTTTCTTGTGAGGAGTAGCAATACCTGAGCAAGCCATCGGCCAAGTTAGGAAGACTGCCCGGATGCAACCCAGAAACTTACAGCGGGTCGGGACGCGCCGGGAGGGCGAGGGGTGCTAGGAGGTCGGATAGATGAGCCCAGGCACACATTTGCCTAGATCGCCTTCCCGTCTAAGCCCAGGCAGGGGAAAGACAGGACCCACATGTATTCCCAGGACAAGAAGGCGATCATGCCCCAGGCAGGTCAAAGCCAAGTCTGACCCAGTGGGTCCCCACAGTGACGGACGGAGCTGGCGTTATCCCTCCCTGGCTGACACCGTCCATAGCAGCAGAAGAGCAGAGCAGACGCGTCTGCATGAGCCTGTCGTTTCTGTCGCTGCGGAACTAACTCCAGTGTGCTTCTCTTTCCTCCAGCACTTTGTCAGCGAGCGTAAATATGATGAAGAGCTCGGGAAGGCTGCCCGATTCTCCTGCGACATTGAGCAGCTCAAGTCCCAAATCACGCTCTGTGGAGAAAGTGAGTTTTGCACACTTGTTAAGTAATTCTGTATGAGTAAGCCCAGCGCTGCTCGGAGTTGATATTGGAAATGTCAGGCACGCGGTCCCCAGGGGGCCCAAAGTGAGGCCTGACAGGATTTAATGATCTAAGGTCATGACACAAGTCACTAGAAATGTCAGGATTTGAACTTAGAGTCTTCAAATGCCACTGCCCATCAGTAAATCTCTGGGATTTATTAAGCAGAACGGAACAGGGTCAACTGGTGTATACCTTTTGCAAACTTTTCTTAAGCACGGCCAGATAAGCTGCCTCGTATTCCGAGCAGCCTGCTGCTTCGGTGTAGACCTGGTGCTCTTGCTGTTGAGTCTGGGAACAGCGGCCGCTGTCGTGAAGGGCCAGCTGTCATGTGTGCTGCTCAGCAGTGCCTGAGCCTCTCCCTCGGTTCTGTGCCGACTGAAGTCTGCAGATAATGAAAGACTACTTCAGCCGTTAGCTTTATCTCGCTCACTACTGAGGCTTAATTGGAGCAGCTAATGTGCAACAGAATTGCTGATACTTCCCCCTGCCCCAGCCCACCCACCAGGGAGGCAGGAATGAGCACTTGGTGGCTCTAAGGTCGGCGCAAGAAGGAAGGCGGGACCAGTGAGGGACATGGAATGTCCACAGCCTCACAGTCAGCAGAAAAACGGAGATTTGGCTGCACTTTTTTTTTTTAATGAAAGTGGAAATTGCTTTTTTTTTTAGTATAAAAAAATAGAAGCTTGATCTAAAAGTTGCAGAACTATATTAAGTAGACTATGACATGACTTTGGTGTGTCCTTCACACTTTTTATGTACATACGGTCTCCTGTGTAAGTTACATATTACATATTACATATATTATAGTACATGTTGCAACTTGCTATACCATACTACATACATGCATAGTAATATAATTTGCGTTTATCATTTCACAATACATGGTGGACATTTTTCATGCCAATATATTTAGCCCATAATTTATTTAGATAAAATTGATGCAACCAGTCCCCTGATTGTGAACATTTAGGTTATCTTCAGTTTTTACTGTTAATATANAGTACATATTGCACCTTGCTATACCATACTACATACATGCATAGTAATATAATTTGCGTTTATCATTTCACAATACATGGTGGACATTTTTCATGCCAATATATTTAGCCCATAATTTATTTAGATAAAATTGATGCAACCAGTCCCCTGATTGTGAACATTTAGGTTATCTTCAGTTTTTACTGTTAATATAACCACTGCTGTGAACTCAATACTTCTTCACATATCTTTGCCAATTATCTGATTTTAATCATTTTCTGTTTTTATATATATGCTCACCCCCCCTTATGAAAGAATCTATCCATTTACCATTCTCCACCCTCAGATTTTGCCCCGTCTCTAAAAAAGCAAACAGTCTGGTTCACGGTTGGACATTTAACTGCTCATCCTAGTTTTACTTCAGCCTGATGAGAAGGGAGACGCTGATGCCCAGTGACTGTCACCCATTCGAGAGGTGGCAAGTGCAGCTCCACCTGCTTTCCTCCGGAACCCTCCCTTACCAAATTCCAGGTGTCCACATGAAAGACAGCGCCCCCGCATCCCTCCTCCTGGGTGCTGGAGACAAGAGTTCTCAGCAGGCCCTTCTCAGCTGTGTTGAGAGCCCGCAGCTACTGCACCAGCAATGGTGGTCTCTGAGCCATGGGAAGTTAGGACCCCTTGAAACTGAATCTCGTGAGCACAAGAGCCACTGAAACGCCCCCGGGATGTTTGCACAGCCCCCACCGTGCCACCACCCCTTACCTGTGAAACGAACAGACTACAGATACATCCTGTCCTTTCTATTTCTCATGTTCTCTGAGCCCCACGAGTCTCTCCTGATCCTCCAAAAGAGCCGTGGGATTAAGTCTGATCCAACACAGGTAGCAGAGGAAATTGCTTCTAGAAATTGGGGGCAATTTTAAGATTCAGAGGTCTTGCATTCCAACCTGGCAGTCAAATTCAGGTGACCTGCGAGAGGAAATCACGACTTTATCCTTGGATTGATTCCTGCCAGCCTCGAGCCAGCATAATTACATAGAAATCATCCCATCAGGAACCACCCCTTTCAGAACCAGCATGGACGTTGATGATAAACTTGGAGCAGACTTGCCCAAGCGCTGCGGGGGCCTCTCTGATTAGCCTCCACGGACTTCACTGTTGGAATTGTTGCAGATTTGCAGCCGGGCTGGAGAAAGTGGAGTTGATAAAAGGTCAAATAATGTAGCTCTAATAGAATATAAGATGCTTTGGGACATCTTTTGGCCTGGCCCTAGGGTTGGGGATGTCCCTAACCCAGGTGACAAAATTCCAGACACCATCATCACCCCAGTCCCCTGCTCTCAGAACATCATGGCTCTGATGGGCTCAGTGTCCACGACCCTCCCAGTCTTTCTGCGTCTCTGAGCACCTGCTGGTCAAGGGATCTGAGGACAGCAAGAGCGGGTTTGATCATGGGGAACCAAGAGGCAGGGTACAACTATGGATAGGGCCACGTGGGCATTTCAAGATTTCATTATCCCCGTTTCTGCAGTGGTTCTTGACCTAAGGAATAATATTAAAGTTGCTCAGATCGGTCTTATTTCCTACAAATGTCTCCCAACTTGGATGATTCTGCTGTAATCACAGCCCAGCAATTTTCACAGAAGGAATTTGGTGGCCTCCGAGCACCAAGGTGCCCTTTCGAATGGCCTCTTTAAAAATCAAAGCTTGTCTTAATGCTTTTATGGAGCTCCATCTCCTCATGGGTCCGAGGCCGCCATGCCTGTGGCACGGCCCTTAATGCCTCCTGATTTCTTGTTGCAGTTACACATCCAAAGAACAGCTACTCCTCCAGGACTCCCTGCAGCTCCCTGCTGCCGCTGCTGAGCGCTCACACAGCAGCCTCTGGAAAACAGAGTAACTTCAGCCGGAAGCCGTCCAGTCACAACAGGCCCCCCGAGAGCAAAGCAGCCAACCCCAAAATGGCCAGCAACCTTCCCAGCGCCGCAGACAGCTCTCACCAGGCCATGCCCCCTCACAAGCAGGTAGGTGCTCCGGGGAGGCTCCTCGCGTTGCCTCCAGGGGCCCCGCAGACCCTGGTCCTTGGGGCCAGGAAGAAACCACTGGTTTGCAAAGGAAGAAAACAGCAACTGCTAGATGCAGAGCTTCCTGGGTCCCCCCCAGCCCCCCCAGCAGCACGGCTGGCCTCTGGCCTCCATCTGCCTGGCTGGCCTCACGGGTCTCCCCTGGTCCCTCCAGTCCACATCTCACGGGCCTTTCCATGTGGAGGAAGTGCCTTTGTACACCCCTGACAGCATCAGCAAAGAGTCCCCCTAAATGAGACAGCTCCTCTCGTGCCCTTGAGTGCCCATCCCCGGGCCCCCATAACTGGCCCACACGTGGAAGGGACTCATACAGACCTGGAAACAAGATTCAGATCCTGGCTTCTGACACTGAAGGGAAATCTGGCGTTCGTTTTTAAAGATTCTTTAATTCCTGCTTTTGTTTAGTTTATGAGTAAGAGGCCAAAGTGAGTTCGGACTTCTCTCTCTTCTCGTGGGCTTTCAGTAAAGAGAATACATTTCAAAATGACATTATTAATTCTTATCTAGTATCCCCCTAAAAGTACAACTGTCCAAAGTGCAATCTTCCTTCTGCTTCTCCACTGTATCCTTGAGACGTGATCTCCTCTTTGTCATTAGTGAATGCACAAAAAATGGGACTTGATGGTACAGGAGCCAGGCATGCTCTAAGATTTCCAAAATGCTGGTTTTCTAACATGCCCCTGTTGGGTTTCATGGTCTCAATCTCTCAGAATTCTCATTAATGACACTGGCAGGCATCTCTCTGGCCCTGAGTGTCCTCATGAACTTTAAAATCGTGCTTGAACAAGGAGCATTTCACATATGCATAGCTTTAAGATCATGATCAAATCTGTTTTCCTTGTAATCTAAATACAGCTTCACAGCTTTTGTACTTTGCTCACTATTAAACCTCATACTAAAAGTCTAAAATGTCGTCTGAATTTCCCTTTCACAATTTCTTTAAAAACAAAAGCAGCCAGATTAAATGCTATCCACATAGATACTTTTCAGCTCACTGTTTTCACCATTTTTCAGCAAAATGTTGCAGGCAATGACTTTTAAGTCAAAATGTACTTCTATATCTAAGCTACAACACTGTCCACCTGGCAGGAAGGGCCCTGAGCTGGGCCCCTTGCTTTAGAGCAGCCCCGCCCCCGGGCCTCCCCTCGCCATGGCCTTCCCTACAGAGTGAGACCAAGGAGGTGGAACTAACCAAAATCTCTACTCCCCCTCTGGAACGTGCCCCAAGTACTTGAGATCCTGGAATTCTGTTCCCAAGGGGCCACAAGCCTGCCTTCTCTGTTTGGACCACTTCCCTGGACACATCATCTTGAGAGCAGACCACACTACCAGTCTGCACACCTCTAGGTCTGAAGAGTGATTATTTGTGGGGGTGGGGACGAAGCTGAGGTGCGCAGGCTGGAGTGGCCCCGTTGCTGTGTGCGAGGGCCCCCCGCAATGTGCGGTGGAGCCAGAGGTGGGAAGACACAATGTTCAGGCAGGTGGTGTGTGGCTGCCGCTGTGCTCTTGCCCTGAGCCCAGAGTTATCAGGGGTGGGTCTGCCCTGAATCTATACCATCCAGTCACAGTGCACAAAGTAAGAACTTTGTGTATATTTGTAACTCATAAAGTTACACGTGTCGATAAAGGTCTGGGTTGTAACAGCCTATCTGTGAATCTTGCCAGGAGACAGTGTGTGAAATGGAAATGGCTCCACCGATTTCTAACAGAAGACCTTGGGCAAGTCCCCTAACTGTATCTTCCTCCTCTATAAAATGAAACAAATAGCAACTCTCTCACAGGGTGACTGTGATGACCAGTGAGATGGTACCTGGCACACTGTGCCCTCAGTAAATGTTGGCTCTTATTGACCTCAAGGAATTCAATATCTTTCCCTTCCTCAGGCACAGACACGCCAGCCCATTGCTTCCGTTCTGCTCATCCCTTTATGGCCGTGGCTGCCAGTTTGTTGAAGGTGGCCAGTTTTTCACTATGATGCTTCAAAATTTGTTGGCTGACAACTGCATGGTTTAGAAAAAACTACTTACCTCTGTGAAAACACACATTACCCCCACATCCCGCCAAGATCTATCAGATACACCTCATCCCTGTGTTTACCCAAGGCAATATTTCTGAACTATGATATTTATTTTGAAATAAAACAGGAAAAAAATACTGTTTCAGAGAAGAAAAATTACAAGTAGAATTTTACATTTCTGTTCATTTATGTAATGAGAATTCATTTATATAGTCCATACAGACTGTCCCCCAAATTTCCATCGTAGAGAACCATCATTGCCCTGCTTCTGTGTGACATCTCCGTTATATGTACTTTACTTTATTTGGCCTGGTCCTTGAACTGTCCGTCTTATATTTCTGCAGCCTCTCTCTCAACGTCAGTAATTTCCTTGCCATTCCGTGTGCAAGGCAGTCCACCCTCCTCTTGAGCTTGAGGCTGGTATCAGCCTGACCTCAGCTGCATGTTGGCCTGCTCTCCTGGGGTGTAAAAAAGCTCACCTGCGGCGTAGACGTGGGTCTCCCTGTCTGCTGGAGTCAGCAGTGGCCCGCTGGCATCTAACACCTGTCTCCTTTTCTCTCCCTCTTTTCGTAGAATGGGTCTTCTAGCCAAAGACGAAGGTTTAACCCACAGTATCATAACAGGCTCAATGCGTCCGCCAAGACACAGGGCAGCGGTAACGAAGGCGACCCTGTGGCGAAGGGCAACAACCGCCACGAACACAGGAGACAGCCGCACAACGGCTTCCGTCCCAAAAACAAAGGCGGCGCCAAAAACCAGGAGGCCCCCGTGGGGACAAAGGCCGCCGAGGCCCCTGCCCACGCGGAGAAGCCCCGGCGGAGGCAGCACGCGGCAGACAGCGCCGAGGCCAGGCCCTTCCGGGGCAGCGTGGCCCGGGTCTCCCAGTGCAACCTCTGTCCCACGAGGATGGAGGTTTCCACAGAGGCTGCGGTCCTCTCGGTCCCCGCCGTGACGCTGGTGGCCTGAGCCAGGAGGCAGAAAGCAGTTCCACTCAGTTTCGGTTCCCTGCCCGAGGTGCTGATCCAATTCGCTGCCAAACGAGAGCCAATCAGAATAGACAGGCCCTGTGTGGTTGTGTCACCCTCTCTCAATCATTTTTACTAATTCTAATAATCAGCTCTAGCTTGCTTCACCCTTTCATGGCTTTGCTTGATCTGTTGATGCTTTTTCTCATCGAGACACTGCAGCAGTGTAGCCAGGCGGTATTTACTCATTTGTTAGGAAAATCAACACGTGGCTAAAGACCAGAGGCTCCGTAGCAACCAGTGTTGTAGGTGATGTCCGTCCATTGATCGTCTTTAGAGAGTTACTGTCGGAAAAAAATTCTTATTGACCAGACAAACGTGATCTGCTGAGGACACATGCGCTTTTGTAGAATTTAACATCTGGTGTTTTTCTGAAATATATATATATACATATATTGCTTTATTTGAAACAAATTAAAATATGCTGCATTTGACACCTGGCTTGTTTCTTTTATTGATGCCCACTTATTATTAAAGGTATGTGTAGTACTTTCCAGAAAACTTTAGAGGCTAGAGGTTGTGGCACGGAGCTCTGAACAATACTGTTTCTCTTGGGACAGTATCCTTTCAGGAAAAACAAGGCCTCACAACGGCCCTGCCAGTGCATTGCACACACAGAGATGGATGTGCACCCCGGTCATCCGAGATGCTGTGCGGCAGTTTGGAACCCTGGTTGCAAGGACCATAAACCTTGGCTCAGCCCAGCACGAAAACATTGGTTCAGAGACTGAAAAGTCCAGTATCAAGCCTTCTGGGTCCAGTTCGACCAGGGCCTGCTCTTGATTCCCTCAGTTCTCCCTTCCTCCTCAGGCTGACATTGTATTCAGAACGGCAGCAAATGGCCACCTCAAGCCTAAGATTCGAATTCGTCCCCCACAAGAAGAGAGAAGCTTTCCCACAGTGTCCTCATGGAGCAAGTGTCTTTCACATTAGTCCCAGCGAAGGTCTTGCATGTCGTTGGCCTGTATGGGCTGGTAGGCTTGTCCCTAAACCAGTCCTCAAAGGGGGAGGAGGGAGGCAGCGAAGAGAGAGATAATTAGCACAGGCTGATCAGCCCCACCCCCCTCGAGCGGGGGTGTGGCCAGCTCTCCAGAAACACCTGGGGCTGTGTGGAGAAGGGCTTCTGTGACCCCAGGAAGGAAGACTGGATGTTGAGGAACTGGAACCCCAGGTAGCCCCAGGTCGCTGTCTTTGACTGCAGGGCAGCTCAGTTTGAACTCTGTTTCCCATCACACTTCCATGTGTCCTACAGATTTTTTTGGTTTCTTTCAAGTGCAAATGCTTGTTTTTCAGCTCCACATTAATATTTTTCTGGTCCTCTCCACTGATCAGCTGAGCCTGCACACCACGCAAGCATCCGTCTCTTCTTCTGCCAAGTGCAGGAGGATGTTTGCTCTTTCTGTAGAGGGCTTTCTGAGGTCTGGGTGTACCCAGAGATTTAATAGGAATTTTAAATGTTAAATCACATTCCGGGAAGGAAGGAAGAGCTGTCTGTTCAAATAAGAAAGATAAATGTTCAGGACTGCCTTCCCGTTTACTCCATCTGAGGCCCTGAATTTAAATTTTACAAGACAGAAGGACTTTGCACAAATTTTGTGTAGCAGGATTTGGCTCACCACTGAAAAACATCAGTTGATATGTGACAGCTTTGAAGATCAGTCAGATAATTCTTGCAACAGGAAAGCACTGGGTTTGCCAGGTCAGGAGTGCACCTGCCTTGGGCAGACAGACCCAGCCACCTTCGACCTTGGCTCTGGTTGCTCCTGGGGTTAAGAAAGTTTAAAAACATTCCTAATCACATAGCAAATACTCCCAGTTCACGGAAAAGAAACAACAAAAATGCTAAAACGTGTTTAGACCTGACTAGTTTTTCCTAGGTTTTGCCTTTTTCGTAGACCCTGGGCATGGGTGCATTTACTAGTTTGCATTTTGAAATGGTAATTTCAGTTTTTTGGTGCCACTGTCAGGTCATTGAAACACTATATTACTAAATGGCAATGTGTTCTAGGGGAACCACTGGTGTGACCCTAGAGATCTGGGTCAAGTCTGACATTCTTTTAAAATGTTTTAAACCCCTTTAAAACTCCACGGGCTATGGGCACTCTAATCTCTCTACTTAATGCACAATAGCCAGGAGAATCGACTCCTCTCTCTTGAACATTTCCCTAGCAGAGGTTAAAACATCTGAATTCCCATGAAGATGGAATAACTTCAGAACTCACCTATGTTGTACACAAGACTCCATTTGTGAAATTCAAAGCTCCCTGTTGGGTTCCCAATTACATTCCACATTTACATTTCATTTGAGAATCTACATACTCCAGCTCTGTGCTGTTGAGACTCCCCGAGGGGGGCTGAAAGCTGCAAGGCTCAGAATGTTAAACACAAATCAGTACAAAATTGAGCCTCAATAAAGGCCGTACAAGAGTTTGGGGGGAAGAAACCAGAAACACATCATATCCGATTTAAAGCTCAGTTCATGAGCAGTTCAGTTCTGCTGGCATCAGAAAGAGAGATTCTCATTGAACATTGTTTGGGAAGCAACATCAAATGAGATTTACCAGGAAAAGTTGCCAGACTAAAAGTGACCTACATATTTTTGCCAGAGAAAGAGTTTTGGGAATTTTTGACTCTGCAAGCTTAAGTTTGAGCCTCAATCTTGATTTAACCCCAAGAAGGAATCCAGGGTCTGGACAGTTATCTCCCTGGGGCAAGTAAGGAGGACGGGGAGTGGAAGGGCGATGCAGCTAGACAGGGTTCAAGGCCACCGCAGCTCCCTCCTTCCCGCCATCCCTCCTGCCGTCTAACCGTAAGGCCTGTTTAGAGCGCCCTCTGGTGTCTGGAGGTGGTAAGACTGCAACTTCCCAGCAGCATCCCCGAAATCCGTGGGGGCGCCTTCCCACATGCTTCCTTCAGAGGCCATCCCTAAAATTCAGGCGCACGTAGGCTAGGATTCCAGATCGCTCCCAGGCACCAGAAATGAAGCAAAAGGGTAAGAGCCAGTCACTAAGGAAACTATAAAACAGCAAAAGACAATAATAATTTGATTGGCTAATACATTCCTCCAGCATTTTTCTGAAAGTCCTGACCTAATTTAACGGCCCTAATCTTATGAGAAGAAAATACGAAGAGTTGCTGAATCCCAGGGATTCTCTTGTTACCTCACAATTTGAAGCACACTTTTGATACTATTCATTGCGAGCTGTTACAAGGAATTTTTTTTTTTCCTGCCCTTTTGCTTTTTACAACAAGCTTTTAAATCCCAAGGAAGGTTTTTTAATTGATCATTAGTTTCCCCAGTCCCTGGAAGCAGATTCGGGAAGCCAGCGTTTAATGTCATTAGAGCAGCCTTAGGGCTGGGCCCTCGGATCCGTCCCCTCCTGCCATCTGAGAAGCGCACAGTGTGCTCTCACCACACGGGCCTTACGAAGGACTGTGGTCATTGATTTCCAGAGGCCCCTTGTTTGTGAGCTCTGCTTCTTCCGGAGCTCAGCAGAGCTTCTGGGGCTACCACTAAGTTCAAGTTTCACAGGAGAAATGGCCACGCACAGTTTTTAAAGAATAAATCAGTTGTAAAGAAAATGTGTTTATTTGAGAAAGTATGTAGATTTCTGACACACGCGCACACACACACAAACATATTGCAGAACTATGGCTGCAACAGTAAGCAAATGAAGAATTCCTATAGAAAATAAGTGTAAAAAGTCTTCTTGTCAAACACAGAAAACTACCCTATTTTTAACTTTACTTACAATGGAATTATATTTACCTATTCCTAGTTTTTGAGAGAACACACACTTTCTGTAAATTGCCATCATTATGTAGCAAGCTGGCCCAGAGTGTCATTACCCCTTTGACAATGCCTGGCACACAGTAGGTACTTGATAAATACAAGGAAGAGAGAGCAGATATGAAAGTGATCAACTCCAATACCCCTAGAAAATTCTGGAGTCTAAACAACTTGTACAAAATAATCCAGAGAAGATGGGAAGGGAGCAGAGCAGCTGAAGCCCCCATCCCTGGTAGGCAGGACTCACGTCCAGGCCCCACTGCCTCCTCCTGGCTGTCTAAACTTGGGCATGTTTCTAAACATCCCATTAACCTGGTTTCTCCGTGGGTGCACGGGGCTAGTAACTGTACCTCCCTCGAGGGGTTGTCATAAGGACTGAATAAGTTAGATTCTGACCTTGTTGGGGAGGATGTGGCTATGTCCCACTGGAGGACAGGAATCTACGTGAGCAAGAAGACACCCCGAGGGCACCTGAGAACCAGGGAGCTTCCCCCAGAGGAGCAGTCCCACTCTGGGGCCCAGCTGCAGGGACGCCAGTGAATGCACTGGGTGTCAGCTGGGGTACCTGCAAAACTCCCCAGGAAACCACCCTCAGTGGCGCTGTTGAATTACCTGGGGAGCCAGCAGGGAGACCCATGGGACCAGAAGCTGCTGCTGAAACTTGCTGGGGTGACGGCCTCTGGAGGTCCTACACCCCAACAAGTGCTGCAGGAGCAAGAACACAGGGACACAGACTAAACCAGAAAGAAACCCTTCCTCCTGCTGTGTCCCTCCAGTGACAAAGCCAGCGGGTTAGAGAAGTGCTTACAGGGCCCAGCTCCAGGATCACCAGCAGGCAGGGAAGACTGGGTTTGGAACCAAGAAGCAAAGAGTTGATAACTGCCATACTGTCAGAAAGCACTGTAATGAAACTCGAGAAGTAAATGAAAATTAGGCAGCATACAGAAGACGCTAAGTCCTATCTCGCTCATCTGGGAATGGAGGGAGCCCCTGCGACAGGAGGCCTAACGTCGTGTCTAAGGGCCTGGACCCTGGAAGGCACATGTGGGGGAACCCAGTCTTTGCCTCATCCCCCCACTGGCTGCTCCACAGCTCACCCGGCCCGTGCCTCATAAATGAGGACAATGCTACACTCCATAGTAGAGCTGGTGTATTAAGTAAGTTAATACACGAAGGGCTCAGGTGAGTACATCTTAGTTCTTATTAGGTAGATGCTTAGTAAGAACAGCAAACAAAAAATGTTCTAATATTACGCCGAAACCAGAAATGTAAGTGGAAGCTAACAGGAGAGGCTGTTTGGTTGGCAGCCTGAGACCCCCATCCCTCCTTCGGAGTCATCTCCCCTCGATTCCCAGGGCTCCATCCTGCCTGTGGCTGACGGCTCCAGCGCTCTCACTCATCACGGCCCCCAGTTAGGAGAGGCAGTTATCTTGCTCCGGTTAAATCACCCAACTAAAGGAATGGTTCTCAACTGGGGGTGATCGATTTTGTGCCCACCCCTCACTCCCAGGTGACACTTGGAAAAGTCTGGAGACATTGTGACTGTCACAATGTCTGGGGCAGGGGATACTGGCCAGGATGCTTCTCAACATCCTACAGTGCACAGTACAGCCACAAAAACAAAGAATTATCCAGTCCAAACTGTCAGTAGTGTCACTGACCTGAGTGCTACAAGGGCAATGGAGAAAGGGGACAGAGACAGGGCGGACGAACAGGGCATGTGGCCTGTTCCTCCACCACGCTGGGTTCTTGGCTGGTTCAGCCTCGATGACCAGATCCAGAGCCTATCTCGAGGGAGAGTTTCTGATGTCCTTGGGCTATCTGTGTCATCCAAATAGAAGCCGAGTTCCTACATCTTCCAAGCTGAGAAATTAGGAGATGAGCTCCTGAAAGAGCTGCTATTATTGTAACAGAATGTCCAAAATTTAAAGAAATCGTGGCAGAAGGAAGCAATATTTGCCTTCCTCCAACATCAGCAAATACACTACCTTTTCCTTCTGTCATGTGCTGTCTACAGCAAGTTTCTCTTCTAAGCTCCAGGCCCCCAAGTTCACTCCTGGAGTGGAGCAAAACGTTACTAAGGTAACGAGGGCTTTAGGGTAAAAAAAGGAAAATAAAAGTATAAGAAGCAGCATTATAAGATGAAAGTTGTTAAATAAACAAGCAGGGCAGAGTACTGACTGCAGGGTTATCGTACAGTTGTATTTGTCTTAGCCACAGCCTACATCAGAAACTGCTTGGCTAACAAACATAAAACGTGTATGGGCTGTCAGAGGCAACACATGTGAACAAAGGAAAATTAGCTTTGCTGTAAAAATGTGAACCATGTGAATCTCGTGAGGCTGACAGGACTCCAGTGAAAATGGCCCCTCCGGGGCCGTGTCGCCAACCAAATTCTGTGAATACGAAATTCTGAAAGCCCCTGGAAATCAGTATTTTCCTGTTAGCCCTCTGTGAAGTTTCCCTTTTTGGCTGTACCACACACTCGAAATCCTGCACTCTTAACTGCAGCCTTCAACAAAGAACCACCCATCCCCTCTTCCCTCCCTAAAGTCAGCAACTTGTTGAGTTTTCAAGGGAGAGTTTTGGCATATGAGGAAAAGACCACATTTTCCATAATTAGAAAGTTCCTCGTTCACTTAGGAATACATGCATGTAAATCATTTGAAAATACTTTACGTTTGCTATGGTAGAAGCCCTTTCCCTTCATTCTGTCCAGCTCATACTTTCTACTTAGTCTCTAACCAGCATCCTAGCAAATGTAGATTCAAGTTACTCAGAGGGACTGCAGGTATGACAATCCTTCATAAGGCAGCCTTACGTGCACACGAATGTTAGCATCCTTCCCTTTACAGAGCAACTTGTGCATATTCAAAATGGTATTTAAATCTAAATTTTGTCTATGAAGAACTTCTCAGCTAAAGCCAAATGGGACTGTATGCTAAAAATCAAGGTACAGCTGGATAATAATTACACTGTACTTAACCATAGACTAGAAAGTGAGTCAATGATTTTTCAATGTTAGCACTTAGAAAGCGACGGGGCTCAGCCTGGAGTGAGGAGGAGACGGCATCAGAGTTCCAGCAGGAGCACTCTCGCGGGGAGCGAGGGGCCTGGCTGCTTTCCGTCCTCAGAAGGCAGGGAACACCCACCAGCCACCTCTCTGGGGTCCTGTGATCTATGTCCCTGACTTACTTTAAACAACTGGACAAGTTCTATAACTGCTCTGGTCACTGTAATTGTGGCCACGAGCAGCGATCAGCACTAAGGAACTCCCTCGGGCACCTGTTTGTTCTGACACTAGAAACTCGGCAAGGTGGGAAATCAGTTTCCACGCCCCTGAAGGCTGCTACCAAATACATTTTCTAAAATAACTGGGGGGGAGGGGGTTGCCCTAACTGTTCACCAGGTACAAAGGCGACAGAGTCCATCAAGCAGGAGACAGACATGTCATCCAATACTTAATACTTTCTGCTCAAAAACTTTAAATATTAAATTCACATTTTACATCCGCTTCCTCCCTCTAGCTTGTCCTTTGGCCAGGGATGTTGTGTCATCCTGCAGAGATCAGATTATGGGGCTAAAAGGTGTGTGTGCTGGGGTGGAGGGGTGCAGGCTGTCGTTATTTTACAGCCTTAGTTTTCCTGAACCTCATTTTCTTGATCTTTAAGGACGTAAAAGACGAGCTTCATTATGTTGTTGTCTGAAACTAAAAAGCATAATGAACACAATGAAATAAAATATATAAAAAATACCTTATAAACTGTAACATAAGGCAATACTGAAACAAAACCATTTAAAACTATAAACAAAACAAATCTTACAGTAGGTTCCTATTGCCAGCCTCAGGCTCTCCACGATGTTAACTAACCAGTTTTCAAAAGAGAGTATCTGGAAGAGCATAATCAGCTATCTTTTTTAATGTGAGCAATACCTAATATCCTACTTACCATTAAAAATTTCTATTGTGTCCTGATTCAACTATTACATAAACTTACTCCTCCAAAGTAATGATACTGAATCACTATTTATAAAGCATGCTTTCCCTTTTTTAATTTTATTTTTTCCAGGAAGAGCAATGGGTTATGATGAGTCACCAACTCTTTTGTATGTACAGGGTCTGGTATTAGGAAAAGTGTTTTCATGGGAAATTAACCTAAACACCAGGGAACCACGTCCAAGTTAAAGTTTGGTTCAAATCACTCCAAAATTCTGAATTTGACTTTGACTCCTGATGAACACGATGAAATAAAAGACATGAAAATACTTTATAAACTGTAACATAAGGCAATACTGAAACAAAAACATTTTAAAAATATACCCATATGGGACCATTTGTTCCTTCCCACCTCAGTGGCACCATAGCCCAGTAGTTATTCCAAAAACTCTCTTTTTGTAAAGGCTAAACATGCTAAACAGATTACTCCTTAAACTACCTGATGCAAAAAATGAAGGCTGTTGACTGATTAATCTTCAAGATGTTTCCTTTCCAGATAAATGTTTATGTGTAAACATTATTTATTAGTAGTATAATATTTTCTTATATGAATCAGCGATTCAAAAGGTCCTAGCTCAAGCAATATTAATAATGTCGTCATTAAAAATTCTCAAAATTCACTGTGGTCTTTGATTTTCAGAATGCCTGGATTCTCTATAATAGTATTTTTCAAAAGTAACTGAGTATTTTATATATTCTACAAGGAAATGTCATTCATGACTCTTCAGTTAAATATTCATTTTTTCTAGCCATATAAACCACCTATTTTAAAAGGCTGCTGGTATTTGGATAGCTACCCAAAATTGGCTTAATTATTTCATACATTACCTACACAGGAAAGCCATTTGGTAAGCAGAAATAGACAACCTATACAAACTCACAAGATTTCAAACTACTAAAGGGCCCCAATGCTTAAGCATAGGCATAGTAATAGAAAATGGCACTTTTTATGAAAAAGTTTTACTTTATTTTGTAAAAGTAATGTTTTAAATATAGTTACTTTACTCTTTCAAAATAATGCAAGTACAATGATAGACTAAAAAGTGCTCTGCTTTATGAACTTACTTTTAACATACTAAAGGCGTGCTGCTCACTGGAGGCAGCCATATGATCCAATCATAGAGCAAAATATGTATGAGTAAACACACAACTGAACAGTTGTGAAAAATAGATGATTAATCAAAATATTCTGTGTAAAAATACTAAATTCAAGTTATGTGGAAATTTTATGCAAAAAAAAATCATATTGTATAAACAGAATGACTCTTCAATGGTCATTTCTGAAAAACAAAACTCTAGTTAAAAAGTTGAACTTATAACTTCTCTTTTTCAAAGCATTTTTCAAAACCACACCATTCAAATTAAAATAAAAATATTTTAATAATTTATTCCAAAGAGATGTTATATAGTTCTTATTCCAAGAAATCTTCTTATGATGTATAAATAAATCTGCTAACGGAAAAAAGTAAAAAATGCCAATCCAGGCCCTGGCCAGGAAGCTGGGTTGCTTAGAGTGTCATCCCTATAAGCCAAGGTTACAGGTTTGATCCCTAGTCAGGGGACAATCAGGAATGAACCAATGAGTAAGTGGAAAACAAGTCAATGTTTCTCTCTCTCTAAGATAACAAATAAATAAATAAATAAATAAATAAATAAATAAATAAATAAATAAATAAGAAGCCGGTCTAGAAAAGAGAACAGTTTAATTAAGTGAAAGTCAAAGTGTGATCTCAAATTATCTTTTTTCCCTCCCCATCATTTCTTTTCATGTTGCCTTCTGAGGCTGAGAGTAACTTGTAGTAGTTCACCTTGATCTACGTCTTCTCTCATGTCTCTCTTGGTTGTGATATAGGCCAGGGAAGCACTAAATCACCCTCTCTACTCACCAGGCAGGAAGATCTAAGTCTAGACTCACTCCTATCCCTGGGCTGCAATGAGTAACATTACAGAGTGTGTAAAGTCTATCACTAATTGAGCAACAAAGTAAACTTCTCTAGTGATGACTTTGCTGTACTGTTTTGTTGCCTTAATACCAAGTAACCATTAAAAACCTGAAATTCAAACTGTCTGTGGACAAACAATCATTTAAAAGTTGGGAAAGTGAGAAGTAACTATAGCGCCAACCACCTAAAGTCTCCCCTCTTCCATTCTCATGCCACACAATTTATTTTTCCCGTAATTATCCTGAATACAAACACTTTAGTTTTCACCTTTACTGCGTCAACAGTGTCACTTATTTATATCAACCAGGCTGGAAGCTCTGGGAGGCAAACAGAACATCTGGAGTCCTGCCTCCTTCAATCAGCCTTGCCCTGTCCATTTTCAGTCCGCACACCCGAGGTGCGCGCTTCCGCGGGGGGCGGCGCGGAGCCCCCCGAGGGCGTGGCTGCTGGGCAGGCGGGCACGGGAGGCCCGGTGGCACACAGTGGAGTCCGCTTCAGCTTGATCACTCGGCGTGGGGCGGCCTTCGTGTCCGACAGCAGAACCTTAGCTGGAGGGGGGTGCGCGGCTCCATTTTCAGCGTTCCGGGGCCCGTGGGAAGCCGGGGCGCGGCCCGGAGGCTCAGTGCCCGTCGGGGCTTTCGCCGGAGCGGAGCGCTGGGCTGTCCCTCCGCAGGAAGGCTGGTTCGCCGTGGCCGGGGCCCCGGCTTGGAGGGCACTAGTGGGAGACACCCTGACCGAAGCCGAGTTCTTGACCTTAATTTGGGTGCTGGTGGAAGGGCCCAAAAATCTAACAGGCTTAGGCCCAGCCTTACAGTTCACACCTTCTTCCTGCTCCCCCGGCGCCGCCAGCCTCCTGTGAACACAGAAGCACGCCGCTGTCAGCAGTTACTGCCCAGGAACCGGCGCAACCACCTCCACAGTTCACCTTGACGGTGAGCAGAAAGGTTTTCTCATCTCCCACCATGGGCGATAAGGAAATTGGCAAGTTTATAAAAGATTGTTTCAACTTGAATACAAACTTTTAAAAATCACATACAGTGCCAACAAGTTCAAATTTGGAAATGTAAGAATCATACAACATATTGCTCTGTTCCCGAGAATCCTGATGTGATCAAAGGATAACCAGAAATATCCCAAGTTATTCCTCCCAGAGATTTACTGAGGGAAAAAAGGGTTTCACAGTCAAATAAACTTGAGAAATGCTGCTGCACATTTTATTCCCCTCTTGGAGTTTTAAAATCTGTATGAACACAGAAAGGTTATGAGAAAGCCTACAGTAAGGACACCTGCTTAACTCTGGTGGGTCTGTTTTCCAATCACTCTGTCATGAAACCTTGGGCACCCGTAAAATTAGCATTCTATGGGACACATTTTGGGATCCGCTGGAACAGTCAAGCCCATGGTAATCAGATACCTTTTGAATTTGAGAAGGAGTGGGCAAAAATGATGCTTAATAAAATTCCAGAGGGAAGACAACAAACACAGAGAGTCTCCATAACATCATTCCTGCTGCTCTGTTTTCTGTGCACATCTTCCACTGGACTCTAGACAGAGCTTCCTCATCATGGCACTACTGCCATTTGGAGATGGATAATTTTTTGTTGCGGAGGCTGCCCTGTGCGTTCTAGGACGTTTAATGACATCCCTGGCTTCCACCCACATTCCCTATTCCACAACGTGACAACCAAAAACGTCTCCAAACACTGCCTAATATCCCTGGGGGACAAAACCACCCCCAGCTGACAACCACTGCTCTAGACCCAAATAGCACTTGCTAACTATAGGTTCAATGGGAAAAATAAATAATGATAGCAAAATGAGGGCATTTAAGAAAAAATATCTGTTTTAACAAGAGATTAACTACTAAAAAGTGAATAAACTTGGCTTTTCTAAGAAAGATCCAGAGAGCAATCTGAAATTCCATAGGAGAATTGAATCAAGATCTAGAGCAGATGATCCAGAACATGTGAAAGCCATGAATAATTCCAAGACAATAAGAGAAAGGTGATTTTAAATGTATTTAAAACAGTGAAGGACAAAGATGTAGGGTGAATATAATGCTAATAATTTTACAGAACATAAGAAAATACCATTAAATTAAAATGCTATTTGTGGCAACAAGATAGAGAAAGGAATTCAGAATAAGTCATAGGAAATTTCAAATATTAAGTATAATAAATATTTTTTCACTATTGCCAATGAAGCCTGATTTCACTTTTGTGGGGAAAAAGTACTTACCACAACATTCCCACTGTCTCCACTAGTATTATTAAAAGCATAAACTCCCAAAAAGAACATACTATAATGCAGCTTTAGAGCATTATTTGCATCTTTTACATAGTTTTGGTAACTGCATTTATCAAGATTTGTATTTCGGTGGTAGGGCAGAATATTCATCTAGGGGGTTATAGGCTTAGTAAGGTCAAGAACTATTATTCATTCCCCCAATAAAGTCAGTAAAAACATAGGTCACAGATAAAAAACAAAAATCCAAAAACATCAAGAGCACAGATAACCTCTTTCGAATCGGAGCCATGTGACGCAGGCTTCCAAGTAAAGGCCGCTCTTCCAGAGTCCAACACTCTATCAGCTCGTGAGGCACTCGCCAGTAGCTAACACCTGGAAGATAAAAAGATATAATTCAGAGAGCCTTTGTCCACTGCAAAATGTTCAGAAACACAGTTTCACATAAGATGAGCCAGAAAGAGCATTTGAGGTTCATGCTCCCGTTTGACGAAGGGAAATGTACATAGCAAGTGTTCCCACAAGGAGCCAGGGCAGTGGCACAGCTCATGACCTAGGTCTAGGAAGGGCTGGCTGCCAGCCCCAGCTCTGCCACTGATAAACGGCAGGTCTTATATGGGCCCCAGGCAATTGGTGTGTGCTGATTAAAGGGGGCAGGCTCTGGAGCCAAGACTGCCTGGGTCTGAATCCCACTTCTGTCACTCACTAATTACGTGACCTTAGGAAAGTTAACTTTTCTGTACCTAAATTTTCTCATCTGCAAAATGTTGACAATTATAAAACATACCTCACAGGATTGCTGTGATAATTAAATGAGTAAATAAATATAAAATGCTTACGACAGGGCCTGGCACAGACTAAGTACCCAAGATCACTGACTTCTACAAAGCATACAACTGCTTTTAACTTTCAGAAAGCATGTAAGGAGCATCACTGTTATTAATAAAGTTCTGGAAGGCTTGTGGAAAGCCATAAGTCAGGAAACAGAAGTAAGAGAAAGGCCAATTAGAAGGAAGAAGACAGTTATTGTTATTTGAGAACAATATGTCTTTTTAGAAAACTCAAAAGAGTCAACTAAAGGTATTTTAAACGATGAGTTTGGCAGGCTAAAATAGCTGGATACAATATATGTAAACAAAGAGCAGCTTACTTATGATAAATTAATTAGAAATTATAGCAGGAAATACCATTCACTATAGTAATAAATAAAACAAAAAATAGCTAGGACTGCCCTACCAAGAAATGCTTGAGTGTTGTATGAAGAAAACTGCTAAAATATATTTATCCACCCATCCAGCCATAAAAAATGAAGACATGAAGATTATGTTGAGACACATGATGGTCCTGAATGGGAAATCTGAATGTTATAAAGATGTCAGTTCTTCGATTACATTGTAAGTTTAACACAATTCCTACCAAAATACCAATAGGACTCTTTGGGAATCTCGAAATGATTCTAAAATTCCTTTGAAAGAATAAATAGGTAAAATGGCCAAGAACATTTTGGGAAGTAGAGGTCATTAAAGAGATGAGGCTAACTCTGTTTGATAGTGAAACATGATGTAGATAATAATAATAATAAACGTGTTTCTGCTGTAAGGATAGATGCAGAGATCAAGAGTAAACCCCAAAGAAGTTATAAGAATAAAAATAGTATGTAATAAGAAAGTCACATAGTTGATTAACTAAGTATCAACGAAAAAAGAGATAGACTATTTAATATGTAATTGAGAAGTATGCTTGAGAGAAAAACAACTTTAACCTCACATCATTTATCAAAATAATCCCAGGTAGATTTATGAATGAAAAATAAAACTACAGTAAACTAAAAGGAATTTTTAGGAAATAATTAATTTCTTAGTAGGGAAAGAAATGGTAAGCTTAAAATAAATTATAAAACTAAATTAATAAATTTGATTATATAATATGTAAAGTATAACTTTAAAGCAAAAATATTAAATTAAAAGACTAATAAAAAACTAGGATAAATAATGTTACATTAACTTGAAAGAGAATATCTTTGATACAGAGGTTTATTTTAATTGATTAGAAAATCAACTCCATCTCTCCTCTATGAATAAGTGTGCAAGGTTCATGAGCATAAAATTCCCAGGAAGGGAAATAACATACAGTAAGAGGTTCCAACTCATTTATCATGAAATATACATTAAATGGCAACTATTTCTTTATATGCCAGATTAGTAAAGATCTCATATGTTCTTGGCAGGAGTAAAAATTAATATTACTTTTTTGAATATAATCAGTACATATCAGTAGCATCAAAATTGTTCATGTCCTTTCACCCGGTAATTCTACTTCTAGGACTCTAGGAGGCAGAAAGGATTATGAACAGAGATGTCCAATTAAGCATTGGTCATCATAGGTAAAGAAAGAAAAACAATCTAAATGTCTATAAGAGAGGGTTAAATACATTTTGGAACATTTATGGACTAATATAGCTATTCAAATTATTTTGAATAACTTTTTACATAGATGAATGCCCACAGTAAAATAAGAAATGATCAAAAGCAGGAAAGAAAATTAAATGTAAAGTATTTTTAATTATGTACATATCATGTGACTGGAAAAAAGACTAGAATGAAATACATCAAAGAACATAAATCATGATTCCTAATTTTAGGATTAGACATGCTTTTGATTTTCTTGTATACATTTTTCTATATTTCCAAAGTTTTATGTGATGAATGTGAATTACTTTATAGGGAGGAAAAAATAAAAGTTTTAAAAACAAACAGTGGTATATCCATACAATGGGCCACTACTTAGCATAAAAAGGAATGATCATTGATACATATATCAACATGGATGAATTTTCAAAGCATCATGCTATTCCATTTATATAACACTCTGGAAAGCAGCTTGGTAAAAATGAGCAAATTTCAAAGTGTGCATTTAAAGATTATTTTAATTGTTTCATAAGAGCTCTGTAGACACTTTACCAGCATAATTTCCATTTCCTCTCTCTTTTTTTTTATTATTATACATTATATGCTTAATTTAGAGGTACACTTTCTAGGACAATGCTAGGTACGTAGTAGGTGCTACGTAAACTCTTGTTTAATTGCACTAAATAAGCATAACTAACAGAATTATAGGTTACTGAATTATAAACTATTAATAATATCTAATTCACAGGGTTTAAAGATTTGTAAGTAAATTATCTCAGTGTTACCATGAAATGACAAATACCTAGACCCACACACAAAAAAATACTTTCTCAAAAAAAGAAGTGCATATTTAAGCTTACTTTGTCTTACTAAGGATAAGTCTACCTTCTGCCATGAAATAGAAGAATGGTACTATACCTTTTCCTTCCCAGGCATCAAAGGCATCCATCATTTTCTTCAGTTCTGCTACTGAATAATAGCTCCAAATGTACTGAACATTATTTCCCGCCTCTCTAGAAACATTGAAAAAGGTAATGAAAATATCCTACCTAGGTATGAATGTATGTGTATGAATATATATATACTTATATATATAGTTAATAGACAATAAGTGCTTGTTCATTAAGGAGAAGGTATGTTTTGTGAACTTGAAGCACATATATAGTACTATATGAGTATAATATACTATATGAATATGCTAACCTACAGTTGATCTCTTTTTACTGTAGTAAAATATTTGTTAATTTCACAATATAGACCATGCTGACAAATCAACAAACTTCAATAAAGTTAGAAAAGACTCAACTTTGACTAAAACTTTCCTGGCACTTTGCCAGGCAGTTATATAGAAACATCTCTGCCTATAAAGAATTCCGAAAATGATGACATATTTAACCATCTAAAAAACAAACTCATGTACTCATGCATTAGTCACTAATATGTGCCCAATTCAGTATCCCAGAGAATTTTTGAAAATTTGCTAAGTTAATTGACCAGTGTAAATAAGATTATAGGGAAAGTATTAAGAGAATAACCCTTAAGAATTTAACATGTTCAAGTTGTAGAATTTTAAGGCAGGGAGGGACTAGGAAAGTTTTCCATCATTTCTCAGACCAGGATACTAATGCACAGGCTAGTTCTCGGTCATTCAGTGGGCCTACTGATTCCTTGGCGAGTGCTTCTGCCCCTAGACTATACTCAAGACACACAGGCATGTGGCTTTGCTTTTCTTTCTTTATAAAGCCTCGCAGGGGATTCTGATGTCCATTCCCACTGAGAACCACAGTACTAGCCCACACAGATGGCCCATAGTTTATACATATATGAAATGGCCTTATTAGAACTCCTCCTGAAGCAGGCCTATCTTGACAGCTCCAAAGGCTCATTCTGCTTGTCGGGGGTGCTGATGGTCTTTCCTAGTCAACCATATATTCCATTCAGTAACACCTCTTAGAAAAGACCAAGACTTAATTTTGCTCCTTTTTCATTTTTAAATATGGACATACCTTTTAAAAATGCTTTTACTGTGAATTCTTCCTCCCAGCTGCTTATCAATAGCATCTGTTCCATCAGTTTTTGTGGAATATACACCAATAATTCTACTCTCACAGCTTGCACCAGATGTGTTAAGATAGTGGAGAACCCAAACTGTTGGTTTATTGCAAATCAAACCATATGAATCACAGAAGTCTGTTAAAGCCTGGAGAAAAATAAATAAATAAATAAATAAATAAATAAATAAATAAAGATATAGATATATTTGAATTTAACTCTGGAATTTAACTCTGGAAAGTAATTTTTAATAAAAAAGTTAATTTGCTATTACTTTCATATAAAGCTGCAATTTCAGTTGATCACGAGGGAAATAAAAAGATTATACCTGGTCTTTAAAAACCAAACATGCATGTGTTAAATTTGGGGTACAGGGCAAATCACAAAAAGGCACCATCCAAAAACCCAACACCTTTTCATCTAGAGAATCCTGTTCCACATGGAAATTACATTTTATTTCCTCCTTCTTTAACCTCACTACCAACATCACTTTTAACTTTTAAATCTTCATATAATAACTATGAATTATACCTTTTTACTTTTCCCTCTGTTTTCCTCAAATTTCCCACTTGACTCAATCTTCCTTTCACCTTCTACTGACCAGCCCCATCACTGATGCTTATTTTTAAATCCAAATCCAATCATAGATTAATCAGATTTTAACTTGCTCTTTTACATTGCAAGATATGAATATATGAACTCAACACATACTGTCTGAACTAATTTGGCACTTATCTACCTATTCATTCATTCTCTTGAATATTAAGTATCTACTATGTGCTGAGCACTGTCTAAGGTCCTGGAGATATAATGGTGAACAAGAGACAGAGTCCTAGCCCTCCTAGAGTTTACAGCTAATGCAGCAGAAAGCATTAAATAAGCCATCAGCACACAATGTCTTAAGTGATACCAGGTGAGCCTACAAGGTGCTAAGGGGCACAGAGCAGGAAGGCTCCCTGGGAGAAATGGCACCATTATTGCTGTGAGCACCCTGAGGACAGGCACTTTTGTCTGTTATATCTCAAGTGTCTGGAATAGTGCCTGAAAATAAAGGAGATGCTTAATATTTACTGACTCAGTGAATGAAAATAGGACCCTGACATGTCTTGCATTTTCACTTAATATTGCTATCTAACTCCTGTATTGGCTTTTAACTTTATCTGCACATCTATGAGAATTCCCAAATATATTATAAACTGTTCAAGGGCAAGAACTATATGTTGTATTTCTTTGTGTCCCACACAATCTCTAGAACAGTGCTCCATATGCCAAAAACATTTGAAATAAATATGTGTTGGCAGATAGAATGAATGTAGCATGCTATGTCCTTTTTGCACACAAACCAGGAATAAAAGACCAGAGTTGGAACTTCAAAAGATGAACATTAACCCACTCCAACCTTCCAGTCAAGCTTTATTAGCCCCATTCTGCAGATGGGGCAAAAAGCCACCAAAAAACTACCTAACAACTCAATTCATAAATAACTTCAAGAGCAGAACCCATACAATCATGCAAATTCCTGGCTGGGATCTGGAACCAAATGAACTTTCTCTTTCTGTTGCACTCCTAATAGCCATAGCATCAGATTGCTCTCCCAAACACTGATATCCAAATCAAAGACTTCACACCAATTTAGATCAGTTTTCACGATTAACAATGATCTAGGAAAGATATTTTTCTTAGATGTCTGAAGCTGCTAATTAATAGGAAACATAGTACTTATCAATAAGGCAAAAACAGATTTTAAATAGTAAAGATCTTTAAAATGATTTAAAATAAAAGCATCTTTAAAAAAATTTACTGATCTCAAAGTGAATTAATCAAACTGATGTTCTAACTTAGTAACAAACTCTACACTCACTAAATCAGGTAAGAGATTTTACACAATCTTTTATTTATTATGACCATTCTTTTAAAAAAAAAACAATTTCAAGAAATAAAATACTACTACTATACCCTCACATACTACAGTATAGCTCTTAAATTCAAAAAGGACTTCAACAGAAGAACAGTTCTATAAAGTAGCCATCAAAAAGTGTTAAATCTTCAATGAAGAATAAAAACTCCATAAACCTTTCAGTGGCAATGTAATGTACTTTCCTAAAATAGAATTTTTGGCCTTAAAAAATGATTAATAGTCATTAAGAAATGTGTCTTCAAAAATTATAAAAAAACTAAAGCTGTCTAATGTTTGATTTATGTAACAACACAGGCTATGCAAAATAACACATTGTTTTGTGCATAAAAAATTTATATATATATATATATATATGTACACATATATATATTTTAAAACTTAAGAAAATGCCAAGACCTTTTTAAGTTCTATATTTGACCTTAAAGAATATGTCTCCATTTCATTAGCCAAGTGGTCAGACAGGCTGTAAGGATAAGGGATGCCAAAGTAATCAGCCTCTTCCTGTAGAGCAACTCGGGTTTGCTCATCTGTGGGAATGTGAACTTCTCCATGAAGATAATCCAAAAGGTATTTAAATAGATGTCCATCACGGTCAATAACACAAGCCCCTAGAAAATATTCAGTTCAAAAATAATTGCAGATACATATGACCATTGACAAAATTTCAACATGTCAAACTAAAATCAGATTGAGGTAGAAATGTTTCTCTCAAGAAAGTTCACATTCAGTGTTCAAATAGGTTTAGTCAAACTTTGTGATCATCCGTATTCTCACCTACCATACAGGAAAATGTATTCTGAGCTCCACTTGGAATTTTGGATGCAATGACCATATTCCCACTAAACCCCCTGCAAAAGCCATGGAGATCTCAGACTACTGGTGGAAATGGAAGCTTACCCCTAACTTCAGCCCAGATGGGCCAGGAAAGGCCTACGGAGTTTCTCTCTAATGAGGGCTTGCAGGGTGCTTGCTATTATGTCCAGTGTTTGTGTTGATCTGTAGCCCCAACATATAAACCAAGGGTTCCCAGCTCCAGGCATGCCATGTGTTTGGATTTATTAAATTAGTCCCTTTTTACTGTGAAAATCTAAGCTTTAAAAAGCAAATGCTATGCTGGTACTACTTTATGATAAAAGGCTTTTCTTAGGCAATTTAGCAGAATTTAAAAAACACAATTCTGTATGAGGTTACTCAGTAATTCTTTTTCTCCTTTGATTAGTTTAGAAAAGAAGGGATTAAGAAGGTAAAACTTAGGGACAGAAAAAAACTCAATCTCTGCTTATGATCCTTCACCAGCAACCTTTCTGTCCAGATGGACATCAAGCCCTAGTCACCAGCCATCGGTGAGTTTTCCATGCCTTCAACTGCCATTCAGCTGGCAAAGCAATCTCTTAAGATCCAGGATTTACTAGCAGCCCCTCATGCTCAAGACCCATCAAGCTCTCTCTTCTAACACAGAAGCAAGAATGGGTTCCACGAGCCCCAGAACTTCTAAGGTGTGCAAAAAGCCTTACTTACAGCTAGACTAGGTGACGAATTTAACTCTAACTCTACACTAACAATGACAGCCCTGTCAATTATGAGGGCAACTGCTTTTTCCAGGAATACATATTTTATAACTTGAAAAACACAGAGAAGATAATATATTTAATCAGCCTCAATACCTTTACCCATGGAGTTGCATGAATGTAACAATTTTCAAAATATAATTAATCCCTATACTTAAGTCATGATTGGCCTTCACACACTCTCACTGTTTGTCAACTTTCAGCAAGAGCATCACAGATTCTAGAAACTGGTATTTAATTTCTCCATGTATTTAATAAATCTCCATACAGTCCTAATGATTTCACTCATTAGTAAACTAATCTAATCTATTTCGTTGTAATTAGTAAAGTCAAAGGGAATTTAAACTAGACTCCTATTTTAATGAATATTCATGATCATGCTTAAAGATTGTAGATATTTACCTGATTCATCTGTTTTTAGAGGAAAACGACCACTGAACATGGATGCCAGCATGGAGTCCTTAAATCGGCACAAGGACTCACGCCTGGCTGTGTAAATACAGCCACCTACATTCAGTCGAAGAATATCTAATATCTCTTCTTCTGACTTATGATCTTCCATTGCTCCCACCAACGCCTGAATTTTTTCCTTGAAACACTTTCAGAAACTGCAAACAATGGTGGTCCTGGTCCCTCTCTATAAAAACAAAGGACAATCACCACTGGCATTTTCAACAATAGACAATAAAATAAATACATTTTAATGTAATTTCAAATAAATTCCTCAGCACTGGCAATATTGAAGGACTTTATACAATATGAAGGAAGTTTGAAATATGCTGAGAACCTAGAAAACTCTGGTTCAGATGATTTGTAAATAATAATAAACTATTATCAATGAAATCACAGCTGTTGAGATGACTGTTTAAAGAATTAAGCAACATAATGCATTGTCTGTCATACATAAAGCAAAGGTGAGGTGTGCTTATGATCTTCAACATTCATAAATCTTTTTAAATTACAATGAGTCTGAGGGAGCTGTTTAGACTGCAGAGGACATCAGTGTGTAGCATGGGATGAGGCTGCTGGGCTCTGCCACTTACTAGCTCTGGGACCTCAGGCAAACACTTGTCTTCCTCTGCCTGTGTCTTCATCTTCAGAATGGAGGGAGGGATGGTGCCTACCTCCAAGGACTATCAGAGACATAATTGATAAAACATATAAAAAGCATATAGAACAGTCTCTGACTCAAAGTTAGTCCTTAATAAGTGATAAATATTACCTATAATGATATAAATTTTGCCATAAGGTGTATACTAGGGACTTGATATTGGCTCTGGAGATTTAAGGAAACAAAAGAACAGAAATTATTAGCAATGGTAATTGTAATTTCTAAGTTAGGTGACTAAGGAAGATACAATTTATCAACTGAGATCTTAATTCTATATATGCCAGTGGCCAGACTGGTCCAGAAGAACAAATAACATCTCTAAATCATCTCACTTCTTCACTCTGAAATGGCTGAAGCTTTATGAAAATTTTAAGAATTTGATTTCTTAATCTATCCTAGGAATAGATGACCCAGAGGTGACTGTGGCATTTCTGTGGAACCTAGAACACCACCGTGATGAAAGAGGTGCTCCCGATTGAGATCCGCCATTTCTGCACATTCCATAAGCAAGGGTAAAGTGGCTGCCAAGAGGCTCAGCTACACCCATGGAAATTCGCTTTCACTATGTGGTCAATTAAGATCCTTTCCTTAGATATTCCAATTTATCCAGTCTCCAATGAAAGGGGGAAAGGAGGCCGTTGGCGTGAGGAAAACCATGTGTGTCAGTAGACAGAAGCTATTACGGACCAATGGTCCAGCCTTCAAAAACCACTGGTGGATGTCACTTCCTGCACTACCTATAGGTCCTGGGAGCAGCCCCCGAAAGATCCAAATGCGAGAACCCCCTCTGCGGCATCAGATGGAACTGGTCCTGCTGGCCCGGTTGCCATCTCCCTGGAATCTTATCTATTCTTCAAAGCCCCAGGCAAAGCCTGCTGCTGGCATAACCTTCCCAATCACCCCCAAATTAGAATCTTTGCAGTTCTCCAAATAAACTTTGTACCTCTGTCTACATTTTACCTCACTTGTTTAACCCCTGGTTTGACCCCTAGTTTGGGGGAGGATAAGCCCTTGGAGGGCAGGGCCTGTGCCACTCTAATTCCCATTTACTGAGTGCTCAGTGTGCCAGCCACCGTAGGAAACGCCTGACAGGCGCTACCGAATGCACACAAAGGCCCACTGGACAGGGCTCCCGAGCCTGCGGGCAGAGGACACTGGGGAAGACAGGGCGTGGCGGGTGCAGGGCCCCCACGGAGGCCAGCTGCCAGCAAGGGGCAGCTCCCCCGGATCCGGCTCGGCGGACCAGCTCCAGGGGCTGCCTGCTGCGCCCACGCCGCCTCCTTCAGCGCTGCTGCGCCAAGGATCCTGACCCGGGCCTGCAGCGAGCATCGCAGGGGCGCCGCGGCACCCCGAGGGCACGGGCTTGGGGGGCACCCTGCTCAGCCTCCCCTAAGGCAGGGGGCCATCACCATCCCAAGCCCGGTCCCGGACCCCATCCTCAGGTGCACCCGCTTGGCTCCCTGCTGTGTGGGAAGCGTCCCCAAAGTGCGGTCCTGGGACCACCTGTATCAAAACCATCGGGACCGCCCGTGGAAATGCAGATTCCCGGGCCAGGGCGCCGAGCCCGGGCCGGAAAGGAGGAGGAGGGGTCGGGAGTCCGCCCGCGGACCCAGTTTGAGAAGCGCTGCTCGGGGACCTGGCGCCTCTCCCACGGGGTGGG